ATCAAACTAGACATACCTAGTTCCAGCAATTGTTCTTAATATGTTTTATATGTGGAGAGGACTGGCTTGGGAGGAGCCTTAAGATGTATACCCCTTGTACACACATGTTATGATGCACTTGAGGGTGCCAGTGTCCTGGTTTGCTCATTGTGTTAATGCATAGTTGCTTCAAGATGATTGAATGAACAAGGGAGAATATTTGTAGCTCGGGGTTGAAACGAGGGGACCTCAGTGCCCCCTGAACTTGGCTGTTTTCTTGCAGACATTTCATTACCCAAACTTGGTAACATTTAACCAGCACTGATGATGAAGGAGTTCTACTCTGGGTAATGTCTGGGTAATGAAAAGATTACCAGAAAACAACCAAGCTGCGGGAGCACCAAGGACCCCTCATGTTTGAATGAAACGTAAGTTTCATTCCTCAAATTCATATTATACAAATCACAGCACCTGGATTAATTGACTCAGAAAAAGTATTCCATTGCCTTATATCCCAACTAACTCGATACTCATGCTTCACTATGAAACTATGTGATCGGGATTCGTTTTTGGGGAGGAAAATAAGGAGGGAAAAATTCTGCCTCTGCCTACCAGCATCCATCGGTATTCATCTGGCTAGCGTCCTGTCAGTGTGTGAGAGAGTTGAAGCCTGTTTGGAAACTGAAACAGTATTTGCTGTGTGAGGAAGAAGGAGACAGCAAGGAGCCTGGGCGCTGCTTAGCTCAACTGTTCTGTACTAAAGCTGGTTGGCTGCTGTGAAACTAAAACTAAAACTCCTCTCCTCTCCTTGTGTTTTGCATTTGGAAGGGATTTATTTTCAGGTGGGGAGGGGGAGTAGAACTCCTTAGCATCAGTGTAATAATAATAATATAGGAAATACTAATGCTCTGATGGTCATTTCGAAAAACCCTTTCTTAGTGAGCCCCTAGAAGCCAAGAGGAACACACGTGCCAAATTTCAAGTTTGTAGGCTTTACTGTTCTGGAGATTTTGTGATGATGCGTGAGTGTATTTCGCTTTTATATATATAGAAGATATACCATACCATCTTATACCAACCTTAGTGACGCAGTGGATAAATTAGTCTAGAAACTAACTCAAAGAGTCAAAGCAGATTCACACAGTGTGATAAGCCTGAACAAAACAATTCTCTTATTACATGCGTTTCTCAACTGAATTGTAATTTCTATGTTCACTTTTGCCCATTGTGATTTATTCAGACAACTGTGATTAAGAAAACATGCGGTAGTTTAGCCAGGAATAAGTTATATGTGCTAAGTTATCTAGTTTGTGATCTCTCTTGTGACAGAATATTGCTGTCTTTTTACCAGTGATAATATGAATTGGAGCCCTGTCTACCTCCAGTTTAGGAAAAGATCTGTATAGAAACTCCTTATGGTACATCAATCTTTTGTTCATTCAACTAAATCTAATTCAGTGGCATCATTTGCCATGCAATGATTTTCTAAGAGAACTTGGCAGGAGACTGGACCCCAAATCCCCAGGTGTTTTAGCATTGCATCTCACTGGCTTTAAGATGCATCAATGAACTGGGGGTGACATTGTTCTACAGGTGCTGTGGACCTCAATAGCCCAAGGAATAAATTCAACTTTATTGCTGACGTGGTGGAGAAAATTGCTCCTTCTGTAGTTCACCTGGAACTCTTTCGCAGGTAAGAAAAACTGTTTACAGGTACCGAGAATGACCAAATTCATTCTCTAGATGAAATTGATAAGTAGGTGTTGACATTAACCAAATTCTAACTAGGTATTGAAAATGATTATCTGTCTGCCCTTCTATTTTTTCCCCTTAAAGATTATTTCACCATCTACCCCTTCAACTTTTAAATTTCAGCCTGCAGAGGAAAAAAGAAAGAAAAGATTTACACCAAATATTAAAATATGTGTTCTCCCTAGCATTTAAAACTTGCTTTAAATAAGACTGCTTGGATTTTTTTTTTAATTGCTTGTATGTGTTTTATTTAATTTGCAAAAAAAAAGGGAATGAAAAATATTATCAGAATCTCTGTTTAGGCAGGTTTGGAATAGACCCTCTGAAGTCAGTAGGATGTACATTAATGATGATTGATTGATTTTGTTAATTCAAGGGGTCCCTTGTGATAGTCTGGATTCAGCCTGTAATATTTATGGAGTTATTCCCTAAAGTAGTGATTGCCAAACTCAGGAATTTTAACGTTTATATAGACTTCTACTCCCAGAATTTTGGGATTTGAACCTCATACAAGTTCCTGAAGTTGAGAACAATGCATGCCTAACAGTTCAAATTCAACTTCATTTTAGAATGGAATTGAATGGAATCATAGTTTATTTGGCCAAGTATGGTTACACTTTTGATCTCCCCCCCACCTCCAACATTCCAGCAAAAAACACTAACTTAGGTCCCAATTTTACTTTTCTTCATGAGCTTCAGGCAAAGTGTGAGCCTTTTAAAAATAAAACATGTTTTTAAATGTGTTTAAAATCTGCTCATTCATATGCTCCGCATTGGACTCATGCATTACAAATCAATACAAGATTTGAAGGAAATTCCTGTCAATATGCTTTTCGGATTAGGTGAGAGTTGTGTTGATGATATTACATTTATTAACCAAGCAGTTGTAGCTGTTCTTTCCCTGTTTGTGTTGAATCGCTGTAGAAAGCTGCTTGCCTTACTGTTTTGTTCAGAAAGAGAAAACATACTAAAACTAAATTGTAGTTTGACTACCTCTAAACTGTTCCATAGAAAGTCCAACTGATCATTGTCCGGATTTCAGATCTTTGGTTTAGGCCAGTGCTTCTCATATTCTTTTTTATAAAAAAATCATTTTATTAAGTTATAGAGTATTATAAAATATAAAATACAAAAGTAAATAGAAGAGCACTGAGGGGAGAGGGGGAAGAGAAGTGAGGAAAGATGGTGGGGGAAGAGAAATAATTATTGACTTTCAACTCTCTCCGTTACAGTAAAATAAGGCATTGGCATCAAATCACAGCTTTTTGTTTTTCCATAATAAGAACAAGTCATTTCTATAAGGCTCTATCAATCTAATATGTAAAACCCACAGTCAGAGTTTCATTCTTTTCCACATCAAGCATGAAGTTCAGAAGTGGATTCCATCATGAGGAAACAAAAGTGTTTCTTATATTCTTTTTTTTTTAAGATTTTTTTTCCCAAATACTTCATTCGACTTTCAAAATTTAAAAACATAAAATAAAACTTTATACATCATTATATCAACATCAAGACATCTTTTACATTTCCTTATCATCTTTCTGTATATATACTTTACTATTCCATTACCATTGCATATTCCTTTCATTATTTAATTTCAAATTAATATATAAATAAGTATAAATAAATATGGATATAGATATAGATATTTACATAGTTTCTTATTCTTTACCTAATTGCCATTTTGATTTCTTTTTATTTTTTAAACCTTTCATAGCAGGCGTCCCAGACACTATAGTATATCTAATCTTTATCTCTTAATTTGATTGTTGGCCTGTCCATCTCTGCACAGTTTAAGATTTTTTTTAATAACAACACCCTCTGGGTAGTACATTTTCCTGCTTCCAAAATTGTGCATAAGAAATCCTGGCAGCTGTTAAAATATGTAACATAATATATTTGTCTTTTTTATTATATTTTTCCATTATTATGCCTAATAGAAATAGTTCTGGTTTGGGTTCAATTTTCTGTTTTATTATTTCTTCTAAGCCACAATCGAATTATGTTCCAATACTTCTTGACCTCTGGGCAGGTCCACCACATGTGAAAATAAGTTTCTTATATTCTTGATGTATTTGAATGAGTGGACATTAATTTCCAGAATTTCCCAGTCCACGGATCTTGAATTGCTGGGGTTGAGAAATAAACCGCCTTAAATTCCAAAGTTGGTGAGAATGGATGTATTATGCCTTTTTGTCTATCTTCCTGAGTCAGGGTTCCCTTCACAAAGAAAGAAGTCCTGGTTTCCAGTGGCTCGGGCTTCATTGTATCCGAAGATGGTTTAATCCTCACCAACGCCCATGTTCTCAACAAGAAGCAGAGGATCAAAGTCGAGCTCAAAACTGGCCATCAGGTGGATGCCCAGATCAAAGATGTTGACCATAAACTGGACATTGCTCTGATCAAAATAGATACCCAGGTGAGTACAGCTTCCTCATTCCAGCAGGGAAAAACCATGTTTACTAGTTGGGAAGACATCTTATTATGCACGGTTAGAGTAGACAGAGAGCAATATTTGTGAGAAAGACTCTTAAAGGCATTTGATATTTGACACCCCTAAGGAACAATACTGGCCTTTTTGGCATATTCAGTTATGTCCCTGGAGACTAGGAGAAATGGTTGCCTCCGGGGGGTGGGCTTCAAAAATTTTAGTGAAGGGTTCTCTGCTTGGTTGCCAGGTGGACGTGGCCATGGTGGGTGTTGTGACTCGGAGGTTTGAGCCTGCTTTGTTAGAGGATTTGGAATTGCCTTCCTCCGCAGGACTTTCCTCTTCGGCAAGACCTTCCTCCCTGGTTGTGCCTCAGGTGTCGGCAGATAACCAGGAGGGCGTATCAGAGCCTCTGGCTGAGGAATGTTGGTTTGATGCGAGGCAAAGACGCAGGCAAAAGCGTGAGATGCAACGCAGAAAGAAAGGACAAATCAGAGACTGAGATGAGAGACTGACACGCCCCACAGGGAATAAAAGTGGGTGTGTTAGCTCTGGGTTCTTGTTCGGGACAACGTGTTATTTAGTGAGAGAAGCTTCAGAATTATCCTGTGTGTGGCGACAGCTTGTGATTTATGTTCCTGCTTCCTTATCGGACTTGGCAGACAGCTTGCGTGAGACTGCCAAGAATGTTGTCGGCTTAAGGAATTTAACCCTGTAATTACCGGACTTGCCTGCTTATTTGTGTTTCAGTTGGAAATTTGGACTTATTACTTTGTTTGTCCAGGTGAGACATAACAGTGGGCATGGCCCAGTCGGTCTCCTGCACCACTGACTTTTGAATGCTTTTTTCCTTGAGCCAGGTAGCCCTCCCAGTGCTCCTGCTGGGAAGATCCTCTGATCTTCGGCCTGGGGAGTTTGTGGTGGCCCTGGGGAGTCCTTTCTCCTTGCAAAACACCGTGACAACTGGGATTGTAAGCAGCACCCAACGGGATGGCCGGGAGCTTGGGATGAAGGACTCTGACATGGAATATATCCAGACCGACGCCATTATCAATGTAAGATTTCTCTGTGGCTTTTTCCAAAAGGGATGGATCTCTTCCTCAATTCGGGGGAAAAGTATTGGGTTACTACCAGTGGTGGGATTCAAATTTGTTTACTACCGGTTCTGTGGGCGTGGCTTGGTTAGCGTGACATGGCTTGGTGGGCGTGGCTTGGTGGGCATGGCAGGGGAAGGTTATTGCAAAGTCCCCATTCCCTCCCCATCCCACTCACCTGCTTTCCAGCTCTGTTCTCCTGTGCAGGGCAACCAAGAAGATCCGGCCGATCAGCTGTGGGTGTGGTTTGGTGGGCGTGGTGTTCTGTGGGCGTGGCTTGGTGGGCGTGGCAGGGGAAGGTTACTGCAAAATCCCCATTCCCTCCCCACCCCACTAACCTGCTTTCCAGCTCCGTTCTCCATGCAGGGCAACAAAAGAAGACCCAGCTGATCAGCTGGGACTCAGGAGGCAGAGAATAGATGGGGGCGGGGCCAGTCAGAGGTAGTATTTGCCGGTTCTCCAAACTACTCAACATTTCCGCTACCGGTTTTCCAGAACTGGTCAGAACTGGCTGAATACCACCTCTGCTTATTACCCTTTGTCAAGTAATTGATATTGTAATTCCCTCCGGCTCCCTTCTTCCACAATTTTGACTAGTTTCATGCCTGCCTTCTCTTAGAGCTGGCAGTGAAATCGAAGGGGTGGGCTAGAGGGCCCATGGCCTCCCATTTACAGTATATCAAAGTTGCACGTGGACTTGAACTTCAATTTGTTGTTTCCAGAACATCCCACTCATGCCTCAGAAAGTTGACAGCCTCCTAAAGGTTGCATATCCCAGAGAGAAACCCCTGTTCCACTCAGTAGAGGTCTTCTTATATTTTAAAGATACCTAGACAATATCTGGCAGCAGAAGTGGAACATATACCAGTAGAATGATAGGGTTGGAAGGAGTTTTGGAGGTCTTCTAGTTCAACCCCTGCTAGGAAAACCTATAACATTCAGGACAATGGTTGTTCAATCTCTTCTTGACAACCTGCAGCGTTGGATCATCCACAACTTCTGGAGGCAGTTCTGCGGTTCTACTGACTGATTGTTCTCACTGTCAGGAAATTTCTTTTTAGTTCTAGAGTCGAGATGGATTTCTCATTGATAATCTTCCACCCATTACTTCTCATCTTGCCATCAGATGTTTTGGAGACTTGATTGACCTTCTCTTCTCTGTGACAGCCCCTCAAATATTGGAAGATTGCTATTTATACCCTTAATCCTTCTTTTTGTTAGACATACCCAGTTCTCTCAATTGTTTACCCTCCAGAACACAGGACATAGAATAATTGGGTGGGAAAGGTCCTCGGAAATCTTGGAGAAAATAATCTTCCCATGATATGATCACTTCCTTCTTTTCTCATTCGCAGTATGGAAATTCAGGAGGGCCATTGGTGAATTTGGTAAGGATTGTTTATTTTTTCTTTGTCTTTTCTAAACAGCAACAATATTCCACTTTGTTGAGCACTTATTACATTTTGTTCATGGAATAAGCCACAATTATTTGGATTCACACAACCAAAATAACCAACAAACAAACAAGCAAACCAGAGTATAACTCAATATATGAATGTCAGTGAATGCTTAATCCAGAATGAATGATAAAATGTGAATTGGTAGACATGTAATCGTGACAGCATAAAATGCTGGAGGCCTTTTGCTTTGTTTTGTTTTTGTCCAGGGCTATGGACTATGGGCTATTTATTTACAGGGTATATAAACTTGGTTCAAATCTTTCTTTTCACTTTCATTTGCTCCTCTCAACAGGATGGTGAAGTCATTGGAATGAATACTCTGAAGGTTACAGCTGGCATCTCCTTTGCCATCCCCTCCGATCGGATCCGCCACTTTCTGGAAGAAACTCACAACCGACAGCTGAAAGGTAGGATCTCAGGAAAATGCTCAAGTGACTCTTGGACGCAGCCAGTACAATGCAGGGTAGCGGTCTCATCGTGGGAGAACACCGCAGCCCTTTGTTAACTAATCTTTACCTTTTCATCTTTTTTTTTAATTTGGCCTTTGAAGCATGCTTTTAACTTCCTGCTTCTCTCTAGGTAAGACCATTCCCAAGAAGAAGTATCTGGGCCTCAGAATGGTCCCCCTTACTTTCAAGTAAGTCTCCATCCTTCCATCCTTCTTGTTCTCACACAGACTCTATCATTCGCCTATCATCTATCTATCTATCTATCTATCTATCTATCTATCTATCTATCTATCTATCTATCTATCTATAGCATCTATCTTCTATCTAATCTATCCCTATCTATTTATCTATCACCTGTCATCTTTTTCTGTTATATCTCAATCTGTCATATCTATCTATCTATCTATCTATCTATCTATCTATCTATCTATCTATCTATCTATCTATCTATAGCATCTATCTTCTATCTAATCTATCCCTATCTATTTATCTATCACCTGTCATCTTTTTCTGTTATATCTCAATCTGTCATATCTATCTATCTATCTATCTATCTATCTATCTATCTATCTATCTAT